TACAACCAAAACTTAATGAATGAAGCAAATAGTTACAACTATAAAAAGTATATATATATATATATATATATATATATCTTCCTTTTTATATGGATCAGTTTAGAGATGTAATTAGATCTGATAATAAATAAAAAGTTCTTAATGAATGAAGCAAATAATTACGATTATAAAAAGTATATTATATATATATATATATATATATATATATCTTCTTTTTTATATGGATCAGTCTAAAGATGTAATTAGATCTGATAATAAAGTTCTAATAATCTCTTTGGTCCCTTTTATTGTACGTTCGACGTGTACATCAATATCGAATGAAACCAATAAATGAATTATGAATATTAAAGATAAATAAATATAACGAAAGGACGAAGCATATTTCATAGTGCAATCATCGATATGTCACACTTGTATGGTAGAATATTTTCTCAAGGGTTATATTTTATGCAACTATACTCTATATTCTACGCGATTATAAGTCTTTAACTGGGTCGAATGAATGGCTTGTCTTTAAAATAGAAAAAACTACGTTTCGTTTTTTCTTTTCTTTTCTTTTCTTTTATATATATATATATATATATATATATATATAGTTTTACCCAGTTCTTTGTGGTTCTTTACTATCTGATTTTAATAGTGACTATATCAGTATACTAACCGTTAGAAATCGAGTATCAGTTAAGCCTTTTTTTTTCTTTTCTGTTTATTGCAATTTGAAATAATAATATTTTTCGGTATCGTTAAAATTGATAATTCTAATTGTCAAGCGTAATGGCAAACGTATAAATTTTCATAGATAAGAAAAAAGATTTTTTTTTTGTTCTTTTTTTTTAGTTAAAAGACAGTTCTTTCTCTTTCCTTTGTTCTGATATATATTTTATCGAACATTCTTAAGAATGAACCAGACGATGTTAGACCCCCTACCCCCCCAAATATTTAATTCATATTCTTCAAAATCGATTTCATTGGATATTTTTTTCCGAGCAAGTCCAAAATGAGGATTATGACATTATGACTTACGGAATTAGCCGAAGTTCATTTTTTCGTCGTATGTTTTTTCTTTTTTTCTTTTTTTTTCTTTTTTCTACGCCGTTAGGACGACCTGGTTTTACGGTCGGTTTGCGTTTCCGGTCCGGAAACTTCGCCGAAGTGTTGTCGTCACAATGTCCAACGCAATTTTGTGCGTATTGAAGTGTCGTTCCGTCGCAAAAATAAAAAATAAGATGAAATCTTAATCGAATCTCGGAATCGATCGATTCTTTTCTTCTTCTTTTTTTCTTTTTTTCTTTTTTTTTTTTTTTCTTTTCAATAGGCGAATATTACTTCCCTATTTCTAAATAATGTTTCAACTTATATTATCATCATTGAATTATGATTAATCTTTTATTTTCTTTCTTCAAATAAATCGATCGATTTTTCCATATTTTTTTTTTTAAACAGCACACGCGTATATTTTATCGTCGACTTTATGAGCACCACCCACCAAAGATATTTTTAGACGGCAATGGTCAGGAGGTGTTAAATCAATAGAAAACTGAGTTCCTATGGTGAGAATCAGTGAAATTGATTTTGATTAACCCTGAGCCTAAGATATGCATTTTCGCATGATCTCTTGAAAAACCTTTTGCCGTGCGTGCCTTCGCAATGTATTTCTTACTTTACGTTTCAGAAGAAAGGCTAATTGCCTCGTAAAAAATACATCGAGTAATACCGAAAATGTGTTTCGTAAAACACGAATATGTTTGATAGGAGATCGAATGAATTATCGAACGAATTCGTACTTAAGTAGAATTGTAATCATGTTTTCAACAAAATCAGAAAAATCGTTTAAAATTTATTGAAAAAAAAAAAAAAAAAAAAAAGAAAATATTTCTTATACTTTTAACTTACGAACAATTAATTAACGAATAAAATGAGAATATTAATAATGCTATATATTAATAATAATTAATAATTTAATTAGGATTAAATATTAACGTTAATAATAATCATAATGATAATAATAATAATAATAATAATAATAATAATAATAATAATAATAATAATAATAATAATAATAATAATAATAAAGTTAATAATTCATTTTCTTCGTTGGTTGAAAATAAAATGAATGTATTTACATTTTCTTCTCGTTTCTTTTGTTTTTTTTTTTTTTTTTAATTCTTTCAATGGAATTCCAAGAGTAACGAAACATATAGATTCGTGACGAATCATCGAACGAATGGCACGCGTCCCACGTGTCGTAAGTATCGTGCCGATAATAATATCGATTACCTGACGCGCACCTGCGGCGAGCGTTGAATTACTTAAGTGTACTACCCTCTAACCTGCCGGAGACTTTCTATCTCTATAGATACATACATATATGCGAATTTAACCGGCGGAACGACGAATGCGAAAATACACGGACAAGGTCGATGGAATTAAAAGCGGAAGTGATATCGTCAGAATACACATACATTAACAATAAACACGTACATATAACACGGATATGTCTCTATCTATGTTATTCAACTAGACGACAAGAATCGATCGACCACGTGTATCTCAGACGAAATCTCTAAACCCTCTCTATCCCATTGTTTCTCATAAAAATTCAATATGATAAGTTGACAAAATAAAAATCTCATTAACAAATTACGTATCGTTTATAATTTAAGAATGAGGCTTGAGTTAAACTCATTTAAATTATTTAATTTACGATTATTATTCGTAGATATGTACAAAAAATTCGATCTGAGCAAAATAACATTCGATGTATTTATTTAGACGCAAGTCCAATGATTTATAATCACTTTTTAACATTTCCATAAACGTACGTATGACTATAACGAAACAATGATAAATATAACTTATTCAAAACGATCATATCAAACAATACTAAATCCTTCTTAGAGAAAATAAGAAAAATTATATTTTGTATGAAAAAAAAAAAAGAAAAAAAGAAATGAAGTTTGTCGTTGTTTTCAAAGGATCAGCTTGATAAACTCGAAAAATATCCAAAGAAGCAATTTGATAAATATTTTGCCCGAAGGTCAAGAAAATGTAGAACTAACCAGCACCAGGTGGCAGAGTAGCTTGAACCCTCGATGTGGTAGAACTTTGTAAAACCAAGATCACAATTTGAACAACGGCACCAAGGGATACGGAAAATGCTGTTCGCACAAAAGTGCAAAACAGCATTGCGCTGGCCGATGAGCGGCCGAGCTCGTGGCCGCGCACCGCTCTACTAAACTATGATCAGGAGATTCGACCCTTACTATACGTTTCCACTTCTCTTTCTCTCTTTCTCTCTCACACACACACATTCATTCTTCGTATAAACGAAGAACTTTACAGTCTAGCTTTATCGAACTTTCAGCTTGTTCTTCGATGAAAATGTCGATGACACTTTTCTTTATGGAGTAATCAACCTAATCGAAAATTAAGCACTTACTTATGTATTCTTTTATTGATCGAAATTGACGTTTCAATAATAGAAAAAAAAAAAAAAAGAACGGAACGTACAATGACCTCAAAAAATGTAACAAAGCTATATCATAATTTAGTTTTATAAGAAACAATAATTTGAACAGATTTAACATTTGCATTTGTTGTATAAATTTCTACGTGAACACCACAAATAGCTACAGTTCATCCAATTTGTTTGTTAGTAATTGATTGTTAAAATATTTCTTAATATATTCTAAAACAATTGTTTTAACAATTTTTCTTTTTTTCTTTTTAGTCGTTCATCTTAACAAGGGATAAAATTATTTATTGAAAAACAAATGAAAAGTACGACGAGAATGTATTTGTATTTATCTCTTTTTAATCATTACCATACGAACCGTTACTTACAAATCATGCTGTAATTGTGATCCTTTCAGTGAGAGAGTCTGTACGTGTCTGTAATGCGTGTAATGTTTCTTTACGAAAAAGAAAAGAAAGAAAGAAAGAAAGGAGAAGTATCATTATCGTTATAATCGTCCTTAATTTTATCGTTATCATGATTCATTTTTATCATTATCGTACTTATACTCCGTAGTAACGTGCTAAATAATACAAACATAACGTTAATTAAATACATGAGTGTAATAAATCGGGCACTTCAGTAAGGAGAAATAATAATAATAATACGTGGGTTTTTTCTTTTCTTCGCTTTCGTCTCAAGCGACGAGAAAATGTTCGTTTTTTTTTTCTGTTCTGATCTTTTTCTCTCTCGTTCGAGGACAAAAAAAAATACAATATATATATACATATATATATATATATATATATATATATATATATATATATATATATATATACGAAGTGCGAGGTACATACAAGGCAAATTTGCCATCGCTCCTACCTCCCCCATTCGCTGCATGCATACACATACATATACGTACGTTTGTATTGTACGTAAATACTTGGGCGCGGGCGCGCGCTTTTCGCATTTTATAATATAATACATATACACGGTAATTTATAAGCGCGTTAAAACATGATTGTCGATTATCTATTTACAAAAATTATTTACAAGATCGTTCGATAGAAATTTCGCTATGTCCCTCCATCTCGTTTCTCGATATTACAATACAACGAAATATATGGCCACGGGGTGTACCATCGTTGAATGAACGCGTGCTATATTAGTCGTGATAACGACGATAATTCGACTACGAAGTGACACGACGATAATATTATTACATACACACGTTATATATAAAAACGTCCTATCAAAAATTTTGAATTTGTGTTTTTTTCACACTCTGTTTTATCGACCGAGTCTCGGCGAGAAAAACGAAAAAAAAAATTTACAATATTACATTCTCGACGAATGGGCCGATCGTTAATAAGTATACACGCATACATACATTGTTCCAACGTGTCGATTTGATCGATAAACTTTGAAAAGTTCGTTTTCTTATTCCTTTTGTTTTTTGTTCTTCTTTTTTTTTTTTATTTCTTTTAATTTTATTTTTTTCCCTTTTTCTTTTACTTTTGCTTTTTTTCTTTTTTTTTCTTTTTTCTTTTTGTTTTTTTTTCTTTTTTTTATTTTTTTTTTTTTTGTTGGAGAACGGTCAGTGGTAAACGATAAAAAAGAAAAAAAATAAATTATACATTTTGAGCGGTGCGTACGTTTATTTTAAAAGGCACTTTTTGTCGTTGAGTCTTTCTATCGAGACTCTGAAATAACCGCTTTAATAAAAACAAATACAACAACGTTACGAAAATGGCAGTGCCGAGAGTCAAAGCGAAGTTCAGCCAACCAGGGCATAATCTTTCAATTTCATTTTTATTTTTAATTACTAACTTTTTTTTTTTTTCAAATCGCAGACCAGCTGCGCTCGGTGGGTCGTGTGCTCTGATTCGCAGAGAAAACGAACGGAATAACAGCCAAAAAGAAATAAAAAAGAAACAAAAAAAAATAGAGAAAGAGAGAAGAAGGAGAAGAAGAAGAAGAAGAAGGAAAAAAAAGAAAGAAAGAAAGAAAGAAAGAAAGAAAGAAAGAACGCGAAAAAAACGCGAATCAATTTAACAAATTAAATTATAGATTTATATCGGCGAATCTCGTCGTTTAAATAACTTATAATTGTCTCGCATATATATATATACACACAGAACGCTTTTTCTAAGTTAAACACATTCCTTCTACTCCGCAAATCGGCCCGTGTGAAAACAAAAAAAAAAAAAAACAAAAAAAAACAAAACAAAAAGAAAACGTTGATGAGCGCCGGCAATCGGGTCAAAGTTTTAAGCGACGGTAACGAGATATGTGAGTAGAAAAAGAAAAACAAAACAAAAAGAAAAATAAGATAATAAAAAAATAAATAAAATTACCTTTTTATGACCCTTTACAAACTATTCTCTCGCATGGCACCTAAGATCGATTGAACGCAAAAAAAAAAACAGAATATCAACTTTCCCTAAAAATTCTCGCCATCGTCGCTTTTACGCATTAACGTTCGCATAACGATGTTTTAAATGTTAACGCATTGGCGCTGGCCAAATCGAGACTAATAGAAAATTCGTCCTATCGATACTTAACGCGTTCACTATCCATTTAAGGGCTAGAAATGGTTAACATACCTTGGATCACAATTTGTGAGAAAAATAACGTGAATTATTAATATGTATAATGATAATCTCATCGTGATCATTGGACAGTGAACACATTTTAAGATCAAGGTACAAATAAAGAAGAAGAAAAAAAAATAAAAAGATGGCTGAACGTTAAACTTCGACGCCGAGAACCCTATCAACAACATACTCATATCTCTTTGGCTCCCCGTTGCCATTATCCTCGGAGCCTTTCGAGTCTTCTTTCTGACCATTCTCCGTGGCACGCGAGCTATGATCGCTCGGCCGCCCTTTCGAATTGACGCTTTTGTTCGTGGTGCCACCGTTTGCCAAACGATCCTCTGTCAAACCTACGACACCGGCACTAGTATCGTTACCCATGGCACTAGCACTGCTTCTCATAGCGATTGTGTTACCAATGTTCAATCGCATGGACATGTCTGAGACACTTTCACTGCTTACTGGTTCGGACATGTATCTCCTGTGCAATATCGAGCACGTATCTGTGGACATCATTGAACTTTCTGGATGTAAATCGTCTGGTGGGAGAGCAGGAACGTTCACATTAACACGTGTAAAGAATGCCATTTTTTCTCTACAAGAAAAAAAAAAAGAAAAAATATATAAAAATAATATTAGAAATAATAACAGAACGAAAGAGATCCTTTTTTTTTTTATAGTTGTACTTACTTAAAAGATATAATGTCGGGCTTCCCTTTCCCGGCCTTTGTCTTTCTCAACTTATATATTTCCTTCGACGTTTTCTTCAACATCTTCTCTACCTTCTTATCTTCCGCACTCTTTCCGTTCCTACCATTTTCAGCTTGTGCCATTAGATTTTGGAACTTGTGATCTTCCAATAACCAACTAGCCAGATCCGTATCACCCTTCTCGCGTGCTTGTTCCAAACGTTGTTTTAATTCTCGCAACCTACTAAGTTCGTCCTGAAGATTGTTCAGCCTGGCGTGTTGCGCTTGAAGATCTAACTCGAGATCTAATGAGGTCCTGGCGGTTGGAGGCAAGTGACTGGACTTCTTTGAGGTTGTTTTACAACTTAAAGCCGACGATGGTCGCCTCCAACGTAATGAACGCCTTTCTACAGAATTTCGTTGAAAGGGTCCACCTCTACGATAGAGTGGCATGCTACTGTCGCTATCGCTTCGATTGAGCTGAAGAAACGAAATTGACGTAGTTTAAAAAATATTTTAATTAAAAAGTTTAATTGAAAATCTACGTGTGAATACTTACACGACAGATGTAATGATTCTTGCTGACAGCAGCACTCGGTGAAAATGTTTGACTTCTCTTTATCACGATAGAATTCTTATCATCGTGAATAGCACCCGGTACCATGCCAGCTGCCGAAAGTTTTCTCTGTTTGCCTTGTTCCGGAATAAAAATACATTCTGTGTTGGTCTCTTTATCCTGAGTCCGTCTTGTTTCTTCGTTAAGCTCTTCTTCCTCCTACACGGGGAATACAACGAGCAATAAAATAAAATTCGATTATTTTTTAAGAAATATTTATAAAACAATAAGTAGTAAAATAAGAGTGTCATATTAACCTCATGCTCTAAAACATCTTCCAGAACGTTATCTTCCATCATGAATTCCACGATGATACCTTCTTCTTCGCTGTCTTCGCTGCCACTGTCAGTACCACCGTCCTCGTCTTCTTCCTCCGGGCTACCCAAACAATTTGCTAGTTCTTCTAGCCTCAAAGATACAGCGGTTTGGAGTTCATCGCAACCTTGATTTCTCGTCAACGTCGACGTTTGAGAACTAATGATAGTACTTTCGTCGCTACTTTCTTCCTTGGTATTTTGTGTTCCACGATAAACCGAAATATCTGACTCCTGTTTGTCGTGCTTAGCCTGTTTCGCTATACTAGTTGAAGCACTATTACCAGTACTGGTACTAGGACTATCGGACGGTTGCATGAAGCGAAAGGAAAGTATGTTGTACCATTTTACGCTCGGCGACTCTGGACTGAAGTCTGCAAGCGAGACTTGGGCGGACCCCTGCAAATGTATACGTAATGAATCAAAGGCTCTATGTCATTTTTCTTGAAAATAAAATGCAAATGAAATGATAACTAGGTAAACTTACCAAGCACTCCTCAAACTCGTTGCCGCTGCACCAAACATTTACCTGCAGCGTCTTTGTATAGAGCTTGTTCAAAGGAACAGCGACCGGAAAAGTTTCGCCGAATGTTGGCTTTCGAAGATCCGTCACTGCTTTTGTACAACACATTTGATTAACAGGTGGTTGCATTGGCAATAACGCCGCCTTTATATATCTGAAATTTAAAAACAAAAATTTTATAAAATATCAATTATTTGCATACATACAATATTTTTTCTTTTTTCAAATAAAAAAAGAATTCGATGCGTAAAACGATTCTAATTGATCAAATTTTTCGCATGATCGAACGTTCATTAATGTATATCGTAGCCAAAACGATAAAACGAGATCAACGTTAGCACAATGCGTCCGGAGGTTACGTAACGAAGGTGAACGTGACGTTCACTGGGCAATGATCCCGGTATACGGCCGAGTATTTCATAATTGCATTCCAGTTTTAAATACATTGCGAGCTCGATAGCAGGAGATCAACTTGATTACGACACCAAAAATGCCTGACGATTAGATTGAACGATAGCGACGAAAAAGAAAATTACTCACACTTGTGCATTGTTCGGTATAAAAAGGGCAGCCAGATTTCGTGCACGTTCGATGCCAATATGAAGGAGGCCATCGCTCATTGAGTACCTGGAAAAAGATATTTCTTCAATTAATAAAACATAACACTTCGTGCGAAATTTCATTGCCATTCCTTTAGCCAACGACGTTCTAATAAAAGCTAAAAAAATACCTACCTAAGTTTAATCTGTACTTGGGCCGTTTCTAAACTCATTTCACCAGATATAAGAGGATCGACATCTCCGATTAATCCAGAAAGCCTTCGACGATTCGATGCCTCGAAGACACCTGAATCACCGGCAACGCTTTCGTCGGAAACAGCAGCAGAAACGGATCTGGTATTCGTGCCAGAACTACTAGCCCTAGAACGTATACCCGTAGGTGGTGGTGTCTCGCTGATAGGCGATAAAGGTGGTGGTTCTTGTAATTGCATGGTACATCCAGGAAGGGTTGCAGCAGGCCTACCTAGGCCGCTACCTTGGGACATGTTGCCTGATTGTAATTCGACGGGAGGATGGGGACCAACGACGAGTTTGAGGCGATCATGAGGAGGAAGAGCAGCCTGCTCTTGAGACGTGCTTTGTTGCTGACTTAGCCTGAGTTCGGCCAATCTATCCTCGAGTTGACTACCATCCAAATGAGCACAGGAAGGAACACTCGATGATAAAACTGACCTCTGTTGTCTCCTCTGTAGTTCCACTTGCTCGTATGCAGGCGGTGGACCCATAGGAGCATTTTCGTAAAGGGGCGAAACCGGTGGACTAACGCTCGAAAGACTCGACCGTGGCGAAAGACTGGGTTGAGATCTACCCGGAGAAGGTGTACTAACGTGATTGTTCTGTTCCGAGCCTCTCAGTAATCGTTCGACACGCCTATGTAAATCAACCATATCAACTGGTCGATCTTGTTGCGAGCTGACGGATCCCAAGCACTGTGGTCCACCGTAAATATCGGTGAAACTAAGTCCAGAACTGAGAGATCCTTTACTACTCGTCGTACTAAGGCTACCGAGACTCGAACTACTGCTCACGGATAGCGTACTAGCACTGAGACTCTTTAATTGTCCCTCCAACATCGCCATCGAACGCAAAGCGTCTCTCAGCTGTTGAAGCAACATTTGTTTTTCTTCATGCAATCTCACCCTGTCCGTGATCGTTTTGTTTGACAATTCTAGGGCGTTATTAAGATCTTGTTCGAGACGTCGTATCTCGCACTGTATCTTTTTCATGTCCTGTTGAGTCCTCGTCCTTGGAGTTATACTACGTAACTCTCTCAGCAACTGTTCCTTCTCCTGAAAGAGTAGCAACTTGTCCTTGTCGCTTTCTGTCTGACCAGGAGTCACTTTCTCTTCAAGATCGGCCAGCTGCTGTTGAATATGTTGTATCCTCTTCCTCGCCTCGTCGTACTGTAGCCTCATTCTTGCCATTTCGGCAAGCCTCGTACCAATTGGCACCAATTCGCCGGAAAGATCTGTTTGAGAGGCGGTACTGAGCTTTTCCTGTGGTAAACTCAGAGTACTAGCCTCCGGGCTACCCTCACAGAGTTGCAGCCTCGTTAACTCGTCTTTTAATTGTGCCAATGATTGCATCAATTCGGCCTTTTCTTTTTCACCGGAACTCAAAGACTTTTGAATATTACGTAGCTCTGTCATGATCGCCTGAGCTTCCGTAATATTGTAACAACCTCCATGATGACCGCTCAACTTTTGTTCAACGCTATAAACAAAATTAAAGAGAAAACGATCAATATCAAAAGGCATAATCAGGATATTCGTATATTCGTTGATGTCATCAAAATTAATCATTTGTCATATATTTAACGTTTCAAAAAGTCTCGTGATTTAATATTTACAACGAAGATACACGGAAAGAGTCACAAGTAAGAATGATAAACCAGACAATTCGAGATAATAAACGGCCCATGACTACTGAGCAAAAATAATTGCCCACTTTCTCTCTATATGCTTTTAAAATTGTAGTTTATCAGGTAATAATAACGTGAATCGTTTGTACCTAGCAAGTGTGTCGACTCCTCGTTGCGTGCAGTTCATCTCCGCTCGAATTTGTTCGAGTTCTCGTTTAAGCCGGGACACTCGGCTCCTCGCGAGCGCGACATCGGATTTCAGTAGATCTGGATCGTACTTGGTGCTCAACGAACTCGAGCTGGAACATACTGTGGAAGAGAAAGAAAATGTATACTTACGTCAACTCGAAATATCTTGCTGGATAATATGAGTCTAGCAGGAAGTCCAGAATACATACAAACAGCAGACATTTAATTATTAATGAAAGAATACAGTGATTCTGGTGAATGATATTAAAGCTGGTACTTACAGCTGGTACGCGATGCACCAAGCGTCGTTAGAGCGTTGTTGAGGTGATTGTACTCATCTTGAGCCAGACACAGCCTCTGTTGCTTCACGTCGTAAATCTCCTTCTTTGCCTGCAACATGATTATTTTGGAACCGTTACAGGAACGATAGCGAACGATAAATATGCTGAGAATAGACGAATGGAATAATGATCGAATGACGATGGAAAATTATTGCAAATTTCGAATTTGAACTTTCAACGAATCACGTACTATGAAGATTCAAGCTCTATAATCCGATTATTATTTTCAATAATGTAAATGATCAGAACGTATAGAAGCACATAACATATATAGAGGTTTCGTTGTTAACACCATACACCATATATATAAAAAAATAATTCACTATTATACATCAAAGTTATTTTTATCGAAACAATGTATTCAGAGAAGGATCATCGGATCAAAAGGATCTTAGGTAACTGTAAACTTTCCATTTAACATTCCAAACTTTCCACTCGACCGTTCTCTAACCCATTCAGTTTCTCGCTTAACGAAATGATCCGGTCAAGAACATAAGATAAAAGGATAAAACGTTTATCTATAATTCCTCAGTCGTAAATTTCAATGAAATATTTATTCACTTTCGTCAGGATGAAAAGAGCACCCTTGGAAAAGCCGTACGTAAAAACACGATACGAGCATTCACTCGGAGGCACAACGAATTTTTTTTTAACCATCTCCTTTCAACAGTAAGAGATAAGAAATTTACGACCGTTAAAGCGGCATCCTAAAAAACACTTTGGAACATAATTCGTCCGCCTCTCGTTTAAATCCGATTCTCAGTAATAGCCCGAGGGCAAACATCAAACTGTAAATCGGAATTCGAAGTAGGGGCGTGTATTCAGCGAGACAAGTATTAAGAAACCAAAATGAATATCAAAGAACGAAAATGACGAAACCTAGCACTATAGTGCGAAGCACAAATAATCGTAGAAATATCAAAGAAACACCTGGTCCCTTACATATTCGCAATAATAATAGGCAGTAGCGTCAGTGTCATCTTGCCGATGACACTGTTCCCAATAAAAACGTTGAATCTGCTCATCATTCTCATAATCGTTATGGTAACACATTCTCATTCGATACTGAGAGACGACGTTCTCGTAGATCTGTTCCTGTTGGTGTTGAAAGTATTGCTGCTGGTGCTGGTGTTGGTGCTGGTGTTGATGCTGGTGCTGGTGCTGGTGCTGGTGCTGGTGCTGGTGCTGGTGCTGGTGCTGGTGCTGATGTTGGTGCTGGTGCTGGTGCTGGTGCTGGTGCTGGTGCTGGTGCTGGTGCTGGTGCTGGTGCTGGTGCTGGTGCTGGTGCTGATGCTGATGCTGGTGCTGTTGTTGCGGCTGCTGTTGTTGAATGTCACGATGTTGTTGCTGGCGTTGTTGGACGAATCGGTGATTTAGACGGTGGTATTGCTGATGATAATTATCGACGTACGTGCGGTACTGGTGCGCCGGTACGAGTACACAGAGAGTGTACTGACGGTCCATGCCGGGTACACAGAGTACTGGCCACGAAGCTCACGCTACGCGATATTTCCTTTCTCCTCCGTCACCTCCACCTTCGACTCTTCTTCTTCTTCTTTCTCCTCTCCACCTTCACCTTCTTCTTCTTCTTCTTCTTTCTGTTCTTCTACCTCCTCCTAGTCCTTTTCTTCGTCTTCTTCGTTTACTTCTTACTCCTCCACCAGCAATTTCACCATTCCTTCTCTTCTTCCACTTGTTTCTCTCTCTCTCTCTCTCTCCTCTACCTCCTCTTTCGCAACGCCGTCGAACGCGTGTCTCTCCTCTTCTCCTCACCTCATCTTCGCGAAGGCCTTTTCGAGACTGGCCGGTTTACGGGGCCCGAAATTCCGATCCCCACCTCTGTGGGTCTCAATTTTTAAGGGATCCCACCTTTTTCACTTTTTTTGCCTTCTCTTCCTTCGTTTCTTGTAGCACGAGTTCTCTCTCTCTCTCTCTCTCTCTCTCTCTCCTCCTCCTCCTCCTCCCTTACTACTCCTTCTTCTGGTTCCTTCTTCCCTCCCTACCTCCCTTATCCTTCTCCCCACCATCAACACCAGCTGACTCCTTCTTCTTCGTCTTCTTACTTTACCTTCTTCTTCCAAGACGCTCTCTTCTCCGTGGTTCTTCTTCTTCTGCGTATTCTTCCTCTTCCCCCCTCTTACTCGTTCTCTCTCTCTCTCTCTCTTTCTCTTGTTCTCCCTCTATTCGTGGCGGCCTCAAATGCCTGTTTCTTACCCACTATAAAAAGGCGGTCCTCATCTCCTCGGCCCCACAGGACCGTCCCAACGTAAACTCCGTGCCACCTCCCTCCCATCCATCCATTCTTCTCCAACCGACCGAATATATCTAGGAGGAGGAACTAAGCCGAACAAAAGGCTTTTTTGGGGGATACCATGCCGATGAGCTACCGGAAATACGCCTCTAGACAGAGACTCTCTACATGGTCAAACTTTAGTTCATTTGTATTCAAAATCATGATATCAGTATTTCAATTCTCGTTAAGATTATGTCTGAAAATATTTAATTCTGTTGATTCTTTCGAGCGATATGTTTGAACTGATACCAAAAACTTTTAATTAATGGTAACGCAACAGGATCAATTATTTTATCGAAAGAATAAATTACAACTGACATTCCGAAAATTCCAGAACAGAGATACGAGCATATCTCAATCACATGTATTTTTTACTTTAGAATAGAAGATACTTAAGGAATCGTAAAAGACAAGCGCCATTAAAAAAACGGGTTATAAAATTTCAATTAAATTAAGCATGAAACTCTAGACACAAATTCCTAGATAATTTCCTAACCATATCGAAACAACAAGCTTTTTTAAAGCAAATCGAATCATTGGGGAGACAAAAGGCTCCTACTGTGGTGGAAAAGAAGGCCCTGTTCTCGCGGCGTTGGGGAGCACCTTTGGCATTCTAGTGGGTGCGCGTTCTTTTAATCGGCGTGGAATGTGAAATGCAGGGCGCCGCGGGCATAGGCCCACGATCCTGTCGTAGCTGGCGATCCCCGTGTGGTGCTGATGATGATACTAGTGGTGGTGGTGGCGGTAGTAGTGGTGGTGATGTTAGTGATTCCAATGGTGGTGGGAGAACGGCGAGGTCACGGTACGACCCTGCTGAACGTGCTCCCATCTCCGGGAGAGCCCAGAGAGTAGTAGAACCGACCTTGAGTCGCGCATTATGCCCTGTCCTTGTTGGAATTTCTGGGGCCCTGACTGGGCCCCGTCGACCCTCACCACTACCACCCCAGATAGCATAGTACTACATAACATACTTGTACCTCTACATACTCCTTTTCCGTGCCACTCTTCAGCACCAGCTATACCAGTACCAGTGCCAGTACCAACAGCAGCACCAAGAGCAACAGCAACACCAACAAGAGCAGCAACTGCTCTCTTCAGAGAGAGAGAGAGAGAGAGAGAGAGAGAGAGAGAGAGAGAGAGAGAGAGAGAGAGAGAGAGAGAGAAAGAGAGAGAGAAAGAGAGAAAGAGAGAGAGAGAGAGAGAGACCATCAAAGCCATGCCAATGGAGACTCGCTCGCTCGCGCGCATATTTCTTGGTCCGCACTATTATTGTCGAGGGAAGCCGCAGATGCTATCGAGTACGAGCCGGTTCGCTCGCCTCGCGGAAGGAGGCCCTTATTTTTTACCTTTCCCCCTCGTACTCTTATTCCTCCTCTTCGCTTTCTTCTTTCGATCCTTCGCCACGCACCTTTCCTCTTCCGTCTCGACTTTATTTCCAAGTCTCTTTTACTCTTACTCTTTCTCTTTCTCTTTCTAGAGAAGGAGGAGAAGAAGAAGAAGAAGGAGGATCTACTTCGAAGGTATCTTTTTTCAACGGAGTTTGTAAAACCCGTCGATACGTAGAGACTGAAACATTGGCAAGATTCGCGTGGAAGCGGTACCGGTACCCCTAGGCCGAATGCCTCAACGATCCTCACTGAATTCCATTCCGTCGAACGGTCTTCTAAGTTCTATACTACCGCTGCTACTACTACTACTACTACTACTATTACTGTGCTAGTGTACTATAGTATACCACAACCCTGCAAGAGTACCGTAGAACGACAGAGGCCGTTGGTCCTTGATCCCAACCCAGATTTTCCTGTTTCTTTTAACATTGACGAGATTATTTATCTCTCACTTCAAAATGAAATGGATACTAATATATTAAAGTATATTCTTGGAGAGGACAGTCTTCTCTTTGATAAGACTCGTTCTTAGAGGAAACGCTTTCTCAATAATGTTGAAACTCGAATCTCTAAGCTCGAGAAAACACGTTTTGGAATTTCTTCGTTACCACCGAATACCAGTAATATATAACATACGTTCTTTCTTTCAACATTAAATCTTTCTACCACCTACGATAGTGCTTAAGTATGCCATGAATCCCGTACAGTGCTATCCGTTACTTCATCTTGCGAAGACACACACTCTTTCTCTTTCTCTTCCTATCTTCAAAGAAACGAACCAAGAACCAATTACCAAGAATTCAGCAATGTATGTATCTACCACACTAAAGATTTTGAAGTATTTCAGAAACAAATTCATGGAAACCAAAAATGATTAGCTAACTCGAGAAGAAAAAATGTAAAGAAATATAAAAAAAAATATATATATACGCAATAGTACACGTAGAGACCTAATGTATTAATGTAGCATTGAAGTAGCAATGAATGCTGTACGATATTCTAAGGATAAAATGCACGCACTTGCACGAAGTAAAAGAAAGAGACAGAGATGGAAAGTAACAATAATAATAGTAACAGTAGTAATGGTACTAGCAGTTTTGTAGTAGTGTAGTAGTAGTAGCAGTAGTAGTAGTAACATTTGTAGTAGCAGTAGTAGCAGTAGTAGTAGTAGTATAGTAATCGTAGTATAGTAATAGTAAGAAAGGAAGGTAGAAAAGAGCAGAAAGAAAGAGAAGGAGGGAGAGAGAGAGAGGGACAGAGAGAGAGAGACCAGTCGTGAAGGAAAAGGAGGAGGGAATGGAATGCAGCCGAGTGAGGAATTCCGGCCCCTCCCGCATATTTATCTGAACGTGGCTCGACGGAGCCTGGACGGAGCCTGGACGAAGCCTGGACGAGGCCTGGACAAAGTATTCTCGATGGGGCCTGGATGGGGCCTCGATGAGGCCTCGCTGAGCAGGAGCCTTACCCCCACTACTGAACAGCACGAATGGCAGCTTCTCCGACTCGAGGCCCCTTTTATAGCTCGCGCTAACCACCGCCCTGGCTCCTACGTAGAACAGAGAGATGGATGGATAGAAGGATAACCGGATGACGGATAGACAGAGAGGGAAACCTCACGAGGTCAATGTCAATTCTATATGAACGGAACTGTATCCTACGCTAATTTCGCAATCCAAGCGAAATTTTTTCTTTCTTTCTTCCTTTCGCCTGCACCAATTTTATTATATCGAATCTTTCGAATTCGACGATGGCAATTAATAAAGTTATTTTCTTACGTATACGAACGTAGAATCTCTTTTGTTCGTATGGAGAAATTTTTTGGATCATACGAATTGTTTTGCCTTTCCAAGGATCTTCTTCAACCATTAGTCTTAGTTAACTATCAAGGATAACGGAAGATCGGGGGTAGCTTCAAGAAACGATGAGGCTTGATTACGCATACCTATCCGATTACACGAGGGACGAAAATCGAGCGGATGCGAGAAAAATAACTGCGACCTTCTAAGGTTCTAAGGTTTCCTCTTGGACGTGACTTTTGTGGAAGATTGGACTCAAACCGATCCGAGGGGCTCGCTCGATGAGAGCTACCGTCGACGGAGGAACCAGCTCTGAGATTAAAATGATTAGGTTTAGGAGGCTGGATGCTACCGGGTGCTCACGTGATCGCCCTGTGGCTACCGAATTCCGTATGAAATGGGTCTCGTGCCTCTTGACTCGAGAGAAAGAGAGGAAGAGAGAGAGAGAGAGAGAGAGAGAGAGAGAGAGAGAGAGAGAGAGAGAGAGAGAAGAGAGAGAGAGAGAGAGAGAGAGAGAGAGAGATAGAAAGAGAGATATAGGAACCCCGAACAACACGATTACCTCAAGACGATGACGAAAAAGCAAAACGAAGCTCTATAGTGATCAACGGACTCGTATAATCTTATCGATAGAATATTTAAAATGATTAACAATACTCAATGTTATGCCATCGACATATAATCGAAAAAAAAGGGGAGGAAGATACAGAAATAGACATGGTCGAAGAGGCAATGAAATTTATTTACGAAATTATAACAAAGAAAATAAGAAGAAGAAGAAGAAGAAGGAAAAAAGTCAAGAAAAATGTCAATATTATTAACGATAAAATAGAAACGATCGATATTGAAGATGATAACGGATCAAATAAGTGGTTGAATGACTTTAAAAATAATATCTACTTCGATTGCATTGTATAAGGACGATACAATTTCATACAATATTATTATCAAATGCGATAGAAGTATCACGCGACTACTTTGCGATTAAACGTACGCGTATAAGTGTATATATATATATATATAATATATATATAATATATATATATATAGGGTGTCTCACATAACTTTAAAATCTTTATACGTCTTATATATGTCGACTATTGACGTCTATACTACGTCGTTCGATAATCATACATCATTAATAATGTTTCAAACGTAGTCCAGAAATATCAGACAACTGAGCACACTAATAGGACAGAAGATTAAACTGGTATATTAAATATATATATATATATATATATATATATATATATATATATATATATCAATAAAATATTCTATAGATTTTAAGAGCTTTCTTTTCTAATATATTAATCATATCTATACTTACTTAAATTAATTATGAACATTACGTGCGTGCAATAATCAGCGTAAACATTTTATAAAAATAATTTGAAGAAATATTAATTCGTTGTGGATTTATTTGGACGCATTTGTCAAAAAGGCCCATTAAGAAATTGTCAATTCGAATAATTAAATATTCTCGTTGCTTTTAATGGTACAAATAAATGTTGATGAAAAAAAATTGAGGATTAACTCTTTTGATCGAAGAGACATTTTTTCCAAGATCATCTTTTTCGAAATTTCAAGATCATCGATAATTTTTTATTCGAACGACGTTAATGCTCAAAATTTGGATGAAATGTATTGGAAACGATAAAGTAATGATACCATACTACTTATGGAATATTATCAGCAAAAGCAGGTTCTTTTGTATTTTTCAACGATGTTTTATCGTAAGTTCTTTAATGCCTTCACAGACAATAATAAAAATTCAATGACTCGTAAAATCAAGCGTGAATACAAGCAGGCCACAGAATTTGTCTAATTATTTTAATTATGATTTGATCGTTCGATAGAACTGCAACTTGATCGGAATGTTTTTTATTTCATGTCGAAAAGTATTAGAATATTGGGGATTATTTAGCGTCATTGACGAATAAATTCGGATTTTAATCGAATCGACGTCTTGTCGGCCTTATTGATATTCATCCTTCGGATCGTAACCTTCTTTCTTCGACTAAACAAATATCGTATACATAATCAATTCTATACTTTTATTTATTATTATTTGCAAAGTATGCATTAAAATAAGCACAGTCATGTTGTTTGACATTTTTCATCAACATTTATTTTTTCTAATGACTCAGTAATCTCTCAAACAGCCAATATTTTTTACTATCGTAATGTACTAAATTGCAAACTATATAGACTTTAATGCCAATAACATATTTCATTTTCTCTTAGCTGAATAACATTTTTGATATATTTTTCATAACATTTGAAGAAAAAAAAAAAAAAAAAAAAAGGAAAAAGACAAAAAAGAAAATATTAAAGTCGTTCGAGTTAAATAGGACACCTTATATATATACATATATATATATATATAAAACACATATGTACATACGCATACGTTCGACAAAAAAAAAAAAAAAAAAAAAGAAAGAAAAAGAGACAAGCATCGTATTGTCGCGATATCGTCTCAACGATATATCGAAATAAAAACGTCCAACCAGAAATAGTCGGGCGATAAGGCGGCTGTGCAAATTTTACTCTTCCTCTTCGTTTTTCCCTTCCACGTTGTTAACCACTACCGATGATAGATAATAAAAAGGAATCCATCGAAATAAGTACATAGATATATATAAGAGTATATATATATATATATATATGTGTATGTATGTAAGCGTATATACGTAAGCCATCCAATGAGAAAACGTAAATAATGATGCCATACTTGGAAGGGAACTTCTTTTGGCATCCGAAGAATTTTTGTGAAACTAAATCTCGATTTCGTCATTCGTTTCTGTTCGAGGAGAGAGGAGACTGCGATGCTTAAGCCATACATACATACATACATACATACACACACACATACACACACACGCGCACACACATGTATACGAGAAAGCAAGAGAGAGTACTCTTACGTAT